AATAGTTTCCCTGGTGTGAATATTCTGCAACAATGCATAAGATTCTAATAAGATTACTGACATTTAGAAATGGGAGGAAAGGAGCTAAAGGTGTAGGGAAGGTGTGATACGTAGGGGAAGAACAAAAAGGGAAAAGAAAAAAATGTGAGAGAATGAAAAGATGAAAATAAAGTGTTTGTAGATGGGGAGGGGAGGAGGGGGTGAAGGGAGGGCAGAGGTAAGGGGAAAAAAATGAGAATCAAGACTTGCCATGTAAAGGTACATGATCCCAACAATGAATGTAACTGTACTGTATCCCTAAATGTACCAATAAACTCAATAAAAAAAAAAAAAGAATTATTTTCAAAACAACGTTCATGTTTTGAATTTGGAAGGTTTGTTTCCTCTTCACTATGCTGCTCACATTTCAAGCCTTGTCTGAAGGGCTATGTTTTGCCTTATCTGAGTTCAAATGAAATTTGCTCATATCAGATTTCTCAAGCAAAATCTCTTCTTTTTCTGCATGCGTCTGTCTGTGTGTGTGTGTGTGTGTGTGTGTGTGTGTGTTTTGGTATAGGATCTGTTGAGATAAGGTGTGCCGCTGTACCCAGCTATTGTTTCTTGGTTTTATTAACCCCCACCCCCTACCATGAATAATATAGTAGTAGACATTTTGGACCTTTCTTCTACTTCTTTCTCAATGGCTAAAACAGTCAGTTATCCCCTGGGGTCACTTGAAAATAAGTTTTCTTTCTTTCTTTCCTTTTTTTTTGGGGGGAGTACTGGGGATCAAATTCAGGATCTTGTGCTTTTGAGGCAGGTGTGGTGCCACTGAGCTAAATCTCTGGCCCTGTTTTTGGTTGTTTGAGACAGGGTCTCACTATGTAGTTGAGACTGCCCTGGAACTCACTATGTACTCAGGCTGATCTCAAACTCACAGCAATCCTCCTGCCTCAGCTTCCTGAGGGCTGGGATTACAGTTATATGCCACCATGCTTCAGGAAAATGTTTTCAGTGTGGCCCATTTATGGTCATAGTAAATTTGCTTGGTAGCTTCATAGAAAGATTTTCCTACCTAATAAAAGTAGAAAGTAAGAAAAATGCCTTTTCCTTCCCACCTTCCCTACTTTTCCATATGTTGTCTGACAAGATAAAATATTTGGTGCTTCTGTGGGCAATATATGCTTAAAGGGCAAACCCACATCTTGCTGTCTAACCTACCTGGAAGTATTATTTGTTGCATGATGTTTAAGTCATTGTTGATTACATAGTTTGTTATGTAGAACCTAACATATTCTATATAAATATTGTTTACACATTAAAATAATTACCATATGTATTATGTTTGTAAATGTGTTAATTAGTATACTTATGGTTATGCTCCATTTGTTTTTTTTCTTTGGAATGAATGCCAGAAAACTGGATAGGTTCTGTGGATAAATCTAATATTTCAATGAGAGAAGAAGAGAGGAATATGTAGACTATCACATTAGAAACATTAGAGGTCCATAACTGGGAGTTGCCATTTTAATGTGACTTTTGTAATCCTATTCCATCTGTTACATTGACTGCTTTTTAAGAATAGATTTATTGAAACATATTTCACATAGGAAATTCATATTTACTCTTTGAAAAAGATTTGCATCTTTTAGGATAAAGACTATCAAGTTGAACTTTTCTTACCCCACCTTTATCCTCTCTAATCAAATCTATATCGGTTTACCATTTCCAAATCTAACTCCTCAATTCTTGATTCTTCATCTCTTTGTTGTTTACTTCACCCACAAGCTTTGTTTTTGTTTTTGTTTGGTGCTGGGGATTAAACCCAGGTCTTTATACATGATAAACAAGTGTTCTACACATCCAGCCCAGGAGCTAGTGTCCCCTTCCCCAACACACACTGCAAATTAAACTCAGGGAGCAATGAGCTACATCCTCAGTCCTTTTGTTGTTTTTTCTTTGCAATCGTCCTGTATCAGCCTTTGGAGTAGCTATAGGCACCACACCTAGCTTAGAAGCCAGTTCTTAAATGAGCCTTTACAAACTAGGCATAGGCGATAAAGTGTGATGTAAGTGGAGTTAGCTAAGCAGTGTGGTCAGACAGCAAGAGGTCTAGGTAAAGCGAAAATGTTGACTAGACAGAGGCAACAGGACTTGGCAAGTTTAGGAAACTTCTAGGTTTTAAAGACTACTTTAAAAGTAGCAATCAAGGTCAGAGAAAAAAAAACTAATTAGACCCTTCAGGACAGTGGACCTGAGCCACTACTAGAAAGGACTTGTTCTCTGGGAGAACTTCAGCAGACCATTGTCTTCTTATCCATTGTAGTCTAGATATTTCTAGTCTACACCTCTCCCTGTCATAGCCTTATGGATTCTGTGGCAATTAAAAACTTCCTAATTCTTAAAAACAATTTAAAAACAAAATGAAAAGAAACATGAAAGGAAAAAAAAAGGTGCTCTGTCTTCATTTATTCAAAAGCTCTCAGTGTTCAGGTCAGGGTCAAAGCTAGGCTGGAGGATTAAATTCCCTGATGATAGGCTAATTCTTCAGAGTTGTATGATTTTCTTTATAGTTTTCCTCTTTCAGGATCCAGTTTATAGGCACATAGGATGGCAGGTGGCTGTAGTCCCTGCTACTAGGGAGGCTTAGGCAGAAGTATCATTTAACCTTAGAAGTTCAAGACCAACCTGAACAATACAGTGAAATCCAGTCTTAAATAAAATAAAATACTCATTTTGACAGAAAGCGAGCACAAAGGCAAAGACAATTTATATTATTGCAGCCAAACAATAAAGTTCCCTATGTGCGTACATTTAATGTAACATTGATATCCTCCACTTTACCAATAGTGCACTCCTGAAGTCACTAATTGCTTCCTAATATCCTAAATCTGATGCTCTCTTCTTCAATTTTAATTCTTTAACTCCCTGGTCAGCATCCTGTCCTGTTGTCCCCCAGCATAAAAGCAATGCGTTTCTGAAAACCTCTTACTCTTCCCTTTATCCATCTGGCTATATTAGAGGAGCTGACCTTGACTGCTGCTCGCTGCTAATCTCTAAACTTCAATACTTGGATCCAGCTGTCTAGTCATATTCTATAATGAATGTTCTGTCATTTGAAATTAGTCTTGTCCTCACCTATCCAAGATGGCTTATCATGATATTTTCTCCAAATTTTTTCTACATTATTAAAATACCATTTCCTCAGACTTCAACTTGCTTTCTTTCTTCTGGACCCTTGTTAGATACTTTTCTGTGTAATTAATATTTAATCTTACATCTATATTTTATTTTTAAACATCCAACTAGCAGCAATTGAACTTATGTCAGGTCCTGTATGAAGCACTTTTTAGGAGTGATAGTCTTGCTTTTCTCTAGTCTCTGATGCTCTTCAGATGCTAGTAATTTTCAAAGATGCAGGAAAACTGGAATTATTATGCTGGTTGGAACATAAATTGTTGTGTATTAATCTTATGATCTAAATGGAGAGAATCAGAATTCAAAGCAATTTCAGGGGGAAAAAGTAACTTAAAAAGGTCTGAGGCTCACATAAATGGGTAGGATGAACATCAAGCAGGACTTGACCAAGGGTTCAATGAGGTTGTTGTGACTTTCTCCTACTCCTTGTAAAAACATGAGTTCAATTCCAGCTTTTCTTGTTTAACACTTTCCTATGACACTCAGGACTCATCTATGTTCTAGAACAATAGTTCATTCTTTCAAAAATGTAAGAGTTCTCTGCTAGGTGCAGCAGAAAACCTGTAGAAATATCCTGATTGACTTATTTGGGGTCCATCCCTAGACAATTATGGCAGTCAACAAACCTGAAAAGAGGGCTGGGGATTTAGCTCAGTGGCTCCACCACAATGCCTCGCAAGTAAAAGGTCCAGAGTTCCATCCCCAGTACAGGAAAAAAACAACCCTGAAAAGAGGCAAGAGAGCTTAACAGTTCAGGGTAAGTGCTGTGTTGTTGACATACTGGGTTTAAATCCCAACAAGCTGTGTGATCCTGAGAAAGTACTTTTACTGCTTCCATTTCCTTATGTGCAATCTGAGAATTACGATGTAGGAACCACTCTCTGAAAATACACAGAGATCCTTGACATTCTTCATGAAAATACAACGTATCTCATAAATCCCACCTAATTTTTCATTACTGGTCATGTGTCCATTCCTGTAGTGTGAAGGGAAGGATGCTGTAATGTGGTATTGTGGGAAGAAGGTGGTAGTGGTGATGGAGGATGGTGTACAATGTGCTAAGCAACCAAAATAGACTACTATCTTTCTGAAAGGAATTTAGAAATGTTTATTATGATTTGCAAAGATATTCATATTCATTAGAAAACTAGTTCTCAGTATGTGGTATATATATATGTGTTGGACTACCAATGATTCAAGAGAAGTATATTTATAATAAAAGATGTTCAGTTATTCTCTTTTCTGTTATGATGTTTTGGTTTTTCATAGAAGTGTTTTATATTTTCTTTATTAATATCTACTTGTGTTATATCTTAGTCATTTTTTTCATTACTGAGATAAAATACCCAACACTCAACCCAAAATTAGAGAAAAGGTTTATTTAGCTCACAATTTGTATCAGTTTCAGTCCATAGTCAACTGACTGGCATGGCAAGGCAGGGTCACAGAGGAAAAATAGTCCACGGCAAGTAGGCAGACAAGAACACATTAGCCCTCTTTCTGTCCCTTATATTTTGTGCAGGCTACCTGCCTTAGGGCAGGTGTAGCATTCACACCTTAATCCTAAAACAAACCAATCAGTGGATTGTGGGCAGGAATACCCTTCTGATTCAAGGGTCTTTGTGGCATGAGAGACTTGAGTTCAAAATCCTTGTGTGGTAATATGACCCAGATCTAATGTGACCTTGGGCAAATTATTTAATCTCTTTGAGTTTTGGTTTCTTCATTTGTAAGACCATAAAGATATTACCTTAAAAGGTTACTGAGACTTCAACAACATTAAAGATTGATTACAGATAATATGTATTATAGTATGGAGGGAGTGTTTCATAAACAGAAGCTTTAATAAATAATTCTCCTTTAAACATTCATGGATGGAGAACCTTACACCTGAACATGTGAGTGAGCACTAAAGAAATTTAGTGGCAATGTTTAAATTGTAAAGGTGTTGGAGTCAATTTTTCTGTAACATTATAAATGATGGCTAAGATCTCATTTCATGCTCAAATATCTAGTTATGCTATTCTAATGAGCTCTGCTACAGGAAGTTATTGGAAGTATAGGGAGGTTTCTGGAGTAACCAATGTCTAAAATCTTCATATTATTTTTATGAGACAATGAGTTGAGAAGCTTAAGTGAAATCCCAGCATCATAGTCTGCCTATTCTGACCCGAGTTATGGCAGTAGGGACTTCTCTTACTCCTGACTTCCTCCTCCCATTGGGGGTTGGCAGCGAGAACTAAAGTCCATTTTGGTGGATCCCAAGGCAGAGGCCTTGTGAAGATAAGGACTTAGATTGGTGAGCTCAGGGTGGGGAAGAAGACAGTAAGATTTCTGGAAATCAGAGGCTGAGAAAGAGGCATAATTACTTCTCAGTCTGAGCTGGCTTTTTGTTGTAAAATATACAAAATGTTAATTTTTAAAGAAAGACTTCCTTTTTTTTTAAAAAAAGCCACCCTTCCTCTTGTAAATTATAGAAAAACAAAAGCCAGCTTTTGAGCACTCAAAGGACAGACTAATATCGTTCAATTGCATTTCAGGGACCAATCAGATGTAGCAGTTCTTCTAGATTATCTGTGTTAAGAGGGATATTTGTAATCTTTGGACAAATGGGAGAGAGAAGGATGGAAAACACAGGAGGAAGCAGGCAGTGCTGCCTTCTGGACCTGCAAGAAAGGGGCCAGGAAGGAGGTTGAGGAGAAAATGTGTACACTTTATTTTCATTTCCTCTCTCTTACCTGACTAATCTTCCCACAATGTCAGCACTACAGCAAGGTCATACAGAAGTCAAGTATGGGTTATGATTGAACAAAGCTTTCTCAAAGTCAGTTGTGGCAGTTTAGGCGATGCTATATGAGGAGCAACAGCTTTGGAGACTAAATAAAATTACAAAGATACCACTGTTTTGGACTAAGTCCGTCCCTGCACAGACCAGCCTAAAAATAAAAATGGAGTAATGCATTACCAACCTGAAACTAAGCTATTTATCTGGTTTTCTGAAAATCAGGATTTGAGAAAGTCAAATTTCCAGAATAGGCTAGTGTTAGTATAGAGAACATTTATACACAGAAATTGGAAGCAAGGTAAATAAATAGCTTGACTGGCTATAGTTCAGGGTTTACTTTATTAGAACATAGTCTTTTCAGTTGGCAGCGTGTGACTGACAAAGTATCAGATGCTGTGAATGACCAAATTTCAGCCCATTACAAGAAAATATGTCACTGCGCTAGGCTGTCAGTTTGTTTACATACTAAGTTACAACATAGTTCCTTTCTAGGAAATCAAGGTATGGAGGTGTTTGTAGGTCAAATTTAGTTTAATTTAAAATAAAGCAGCAATAGTATTTCCAATAAGCGAAAACAAAACAAAACAAACAAAAAAACCCAAACCTTTGCTTTTTACTGTCTACTCTAGTCCTGTAGTTTTGGATATAGACTGGGATGGCCTTTTGTAGCAGTCTCAAACAGCAGTGGGAAGTCTGACTGCAGTTGAGGTTTGACAATAACTGGAAAACCTTAGAAAGAGTATATCAAAGGAAGGAAGAAAAGAAGGAAAGAGGGAGGAAGGAAATGCCATAGGTTAGGTTTATTTAGAATAATAGTAAGTAGTAATATTGACTGCTTTCTGTGCGCCAAACAGTATTTTTATTTAATTATCAGGATAATCATATGAGGAAAATATACTTTATGGAAAAGGCTTAAGTTAAACAAAAAAATGTATAGTTGTAGAAATGGCATTGCCAAGCAAAATGTTGTTGAGAATTAAATAAAACTTCCTATTTTTTATAGATGAGGCAAACGAGTCTTAAAAGTTAACAGACTTTTTATAAGGTTACACAGGCTATTGCAAGAATCAGGGATATAGCTCCAATTCAATTTTCCAGCTATTATTAGGTCAGTTTGTTGCTTTTTGTTTTTTTGTACTGGGGATTTAACTCAGGACCTTCATATTGAGCTACATATCATCACATATTCCACACACACACCCTGCTTTTCTGAGACAGGGTCTCACTATACAGTTCAGGTTGGCCTCAAACTCGTGGCAATTCTCCTGTCTCAAGACTAAAGGTGTGCGCCACCCCACTCGGCTTCTTCCTCAGCCCTTTAAAAAAATTTTGTTTTTGCTTTTAAAATTTTGAGATAGTATCTTGCTAAGTCTCTAAATTTCCCAGAGTGGATTCAAACCTGCCATTAACCTGCTTCAGCCTTTTATAGTGCTGGGATTACAAGGATGTACCACCGCGCATGCCCTGCTACAGTTTTTAATATTCTGCTACACTGAATATCCTTTGAAACTAAAAACCGGGCAAAAGAGAATGGAGTAAGCATGTCAAACTTGTGGGTCAGTCACTGAAATCATGAGGGACCCGCTTAAGTACATAAAATAATTCTGACTTAGGGTCTAAAACAGAAAATTAGGACTGGAGGCAAAGTTCAAAGGCAGTTCATGCTTAACAAGCTCAATCCCCAGCATCCAAAAATAAAATAAAATGTCAATTTAAAGTCTTGACGTCACCTTAAGTAAAATTTGAAATAATTAAAAGGCAAATTCAACTGTTAGATTTTTAAAAAATACCTTAAAAAGACACATTAAGATTTGTCCTTTATGAAGAGACTGAAAAAATGGATTAATTTTCATCTTTCAGGTAAAATGGAGATGGTTCTTAAATGTTTCTTCAAAATTGCGAAACAAAAACACACTGTAAAGAATTTAAGGGAAATAAAATTACTCGTGCTCCTCCCATCCAAGTATTAGTCTGAGTCCGTTTTGCTGCAGTGGAGAGTTCCCAGTTATACTCATTTAACACTTACTGAACACCTCAATTGGGACCGCCAATGAGCAACGCATCTGTGACACCAAGAGAACGCAGTCTGTCAGTAAAAGACTTACGTTATATAGAGGAAGACAGACATACAGCCATTTGTCAACAATAATAACAATACAATGAGCGTAGACTCTACAGTTGGCGGCTGACACTTTTCATTTTGGAATTCTTAGGTTCCTTTTCGAAAACGCTCAAAACAGGGCTACTTCAAAACACATTTTAAAATTTTAGGTTTAAAAACATCCAGAGAAAAAAAACAAACAAACAGAAAAAAACCCCAAAACATCCAGCCACTTCTACCCTTTAAAATGACTTAGCCTGGGTCGGAAGGCGCACTGAGCGCCAACTCAGCTGGGGAGGACTTGAGATCACGTTGGCTTAGATATCTCGCGGGACCTAGGAGAGCGGTGCGTGTTGGGATTTGTAGTCTTCTTAGGATCACGGACACAGCCCCTGCGTTTACAGTGCACGTCCCACGTTGTAGTTACACGTTCTAGTCCAACAGTTAGATGAAGCCCCAACCTAGAGCGTAACTGAATAAATCTAATCTCATTATAGCCTCTTCGTGTTTGTGCTGGGCTCGCTCCGGTCAATGCTCAGACAGTGGTCTCCTTTAAAAGCCTGAGAGATTGGCTCGTCTTCGGTCCTGGGAGGAGCCCTGGTGGAACGGAGTTTAGAATTGGTCAATTTCTGAGTAGAAGAGGCGTTCCTACCTCTTTGCTTGAGCCGTGCTCTATAGCGAAGAGCCGGCCCGCCGTCGGAGCGCGCTGCCGCGGAGGGAAATCTCGCGATATTTGGCCACAGGGACGCGGACGTGTAGCAAGCGGCTGAGGGCTGCAGGGTTGCGGGTCTCACGGACTGCTGACTGTGACTGCGGGGAACGGACTGGTCGGGTGGCGGGCTGGGCGCGCTGCCTCCGCGGCTTAGGCTCTTTGGGCCTTCCGAGTGGCGCGTGGAAGTGCGAGGTGGCCCTCGCGGTGGAGTCGGCCAGGTCTCCGCACCTGGGCCTCCGGGTGAC